AAGACTGTTAGACGTTCATTTTAGTGATAAACGCTACACAAATGTTTGGTACAGTGCAATGGATAAACCACTGATACTTCACGCTCGATGTTGGAACATCTTGCTTTTAATTTGTTTTCGCGTATTCATCCTATGGGTGTTGTAAAGTTATGCTTTTTATCCCATTATACACTATCAAACAACTGAACTATTGAAGCGGTGCAGTTGAATGATATCAACTCCTGCTGCATCATCAACTGCCTCAGTCCAGCTCTTGCGTGCAATTAAAAGGTTAGTAGTACATGAATGATTTTGACAAAAACAATGTTGATCTGGGGCTAGTATGCCATGATTTTCCAGCTACTGCAAAAGCGCATCAGCGATGATAGACTCTATAACTTTGGGAAGCACAGGAAGTAGCGTTATCAGACGGTAATTGGTAGGGCCAATGCGGCTACCTCCCTTACGAATAGGACTGATGATTCACCGCTCCCATATGGCTGGTATTGGGTTCTCCTCTAGACAGCGCTGATAGAAGATAGCGAGGGGTTCCGCTTGATTACTGGCTACTGTCTGCAGAGCCTTCGGTTGGATGCTATCGACTCCATGAGAACTGGAAACACCGGGAAAAGAACTACTTCAACACAATGTTGGCAGTGTATTTGGGCTCGTTACCTGTTGGAAGATTAGGAGTAATGAAGCCGCAGGGGACCGGCTGCTTCCATTCCCGACACCGTGCACCCATCAGTCCTGACCCATGCTGGAATTCCGTGCAGCACCATACGACGGCCATTAATATTCCTGAGATTGCGTTTGTGTAGAATCGCTTCATTTAATCCTGCTGATGAGTTACATTGTCCTCACCGGTCAGTAGCAAGCAACAACAACGCCATGCCACGCAGGCAGTTCAGGTTTCAAAATTCGGGGAATTCCTGTGAGCTCGCCATGACAAATATTTAAAGGACCTAATTTACGTTGAGCTTCTCAGTAATGACTTTTTCGATTTTACAATGGAAGTAACTCTGTTTCGATGCTTGCGCTTCCAATGTGATAATAGTCCTCGTAAAGATTTCCCATGCCACGTCTGGGGGACATTTGCTTAAGGATGTATAGGAAGTCACACTAACAAGTGTAGATAACACATTGTAGTGTGTGAGAGCATATATTTCATCATACTCCTTTCCAGGATATTCCGTATAGAATACCTATACAAAGAGTAGAGTAACATGGTCCTGGCAACCCAGTAGGGTGCTTTTGACTATTCTGTCGACCATGAGTTCCCCCTTGGTGAGCACATGATCAAGTATGCACGGCCTGTAAGCAGTCCGGAGTCTAGTGACACGGGTCACCTGATTGTTCAGAGGGTAGCTAAAAATTAGCTCTTGCAAACAGGCCTTAAAACTTACAACCGATGGGTTACAGGCGTTTACAAGTTTTGCACATTAAAGTATCCAGCGATAAAAATGTATGGCTTTTCTTAAAGCAAACTTAAGAACGTGGTTCACTTTGGAGTCCATTTCGCACGTAGAGTTTGGTACGCTGTAAATCACGTCTATACGACACATGCCTGCTCGGCATCCGTAGCCGGCACCAAAGCGAATCAGGGACAAGGATTTCTGGCTGATCAATAAAGTCACACCGGAGGTTGTCCTTGTAACATAGAATTACACCACCGTACCTTCTAGCTCTGTCGTTCCAAAGCAGCGAAATGCTAGATAAATTCACCTCCGAATCAGCTATCTCAAGGCTTAATCAGGTCTCTGTAATCATAAGAGATCGCGCAGTTGTGAGGCATGGAGTTCTCTAAGTCCAATTTACTTAGGAAGCCTTTGGCTTTAATATACAAACAGGATGGTGTTTTTGATTGTTAGGCTTATGTTGATGGATGTAAGATTTAGGTTTCTTTTTAAGCTGACCATTATGTCGGCCGGCTTTTATTAACTTTTATGGTCGGGTGCCGATTTATGAATTTCAGTTAAACTATATGGCCCCACTGAGTGTTCCGGATAAAGATGTTTAATCGTGCTTCGCTCTGTCACGTTGTATGCCCTGGGTGCTGTTTTGTCGATCTCTCCGCAGGACTGTAAAGATAAGGAAGTTACGGGGACTGCATCGAAGTACTGACCACTCATGACCGTGCGCATCCTGCCTTTAGCCGGATTTTGGTTAACAAACTGGTCATCTACTAGAACTTGCATCATTCTCTCCGAGTGTAACGCCACTTTCATAAATCATGGACCGCAGTCCTTGTACTTAGGTGATGAAGGAACTTAGCAATTATGTAACTATAATATTGTCCAGAGAGGTTGCTTCGCGGAGGCAGCACCACTGCGCTCGGTCACTTGTTTGTGCCTGGTGTTCTAGAGTAGTCGGAGGCTCGGGAACATCATGAAGAATTATGGATCTTTTTGCAAGCGCTGTTAGAAGGGGCGCCTTGGTTACCTGCTTCTGTTGGGTGATCATTTCAAGGATGATCGAGTAATTTCCGTACCCCGCATGGGGAGTTTCGTAGACGAACTGCTGAGAGCTAGACAGCCTTTGTATTATATGCTAAGCTTAGTGTTACTCAAAGTTTGTGGGGTACGCAACGTTGCACTGAATTCGGGTGACGCGCTATGTGTATCAGCATAGTGGGCTCAACCCGAATATTAATCGCATTTCAGTTGGAATTCTGCTGTTTACGACCATCTAGCAAGCTACCTTTATTTTGCCAGGTTTCGAGCCGGGAACGTAGTGCATACATGATTTAACGCCCCGTCATTCTGCCTAGCTAATGTCGGTTTAGGAGTTTTGCTGGTAATTTGGATTGTTTAGGAGGCACCAGTGGAATTGACGACGAAAGCTGTGTCGCCCCGCGTGTGCTGGGCACAGAAACTGGACCGAAGTATGTCGCTTTCGGTGTGCTTGTTGAAGCGTACAACACGGACATTACGAGTTTTTTATATGCACTGTGGTTGTGGAAGCAGGTGACGACATAGTCACGAGAGACGTAAGAAAGATATGTTTACTGGAAGGATACAAAGGGGAGGAAGTGGTATCTCCGGCTGTGGACTCTCCGCAAATGGGAGATGGATCTTCGATGCTGCTGCTTCAGTGAGCACCACTGTGAGTTCAACAGGCCGAAGTGGGAGACGCTGGCATACAGTTGTAAGTCCTGTACTCTCCCATACTAAATGGAGCAGGGTTAGGGCAAACCAGAGCGAGAAACCAACGGATGCGCAAAACGAAGAAAATGTTTTGGAGTTGGGGCAGAGTGTAAGCGGCAGCAATACCATGCCAACTGCAGGCTGGATGTCAAGCTCATACGCCAGTTTACCAACCCACCTGCGTCACCCACCGAGGCTCCGATTAACAATAATATGGCTACCCCCATGCGATTCACTATCCGATGCTCCACAGATTCCTTGCAAAGCGCACCATGGATATAGAAATTTGTTCTGCATAACCTTATGTAACACCTGCAGCTACAGAGTAATGTGCCATTCATTGTTTTCCTAGCCATGTCTACTTATTTCATTCCAACCTTAGTCGTCAGATTTGCTCGCGCCAATACAGTGTAACACGCCTAGGCGGCCCACAACATACCCAATTGATACATTCTCTAGTCCCAGGTGGTTTTCCCCGTAGCATTCCCAATTTGGCGATATTTAAAACACGAGTTGACGATGCATTGTCTCATTTACATTTCATTTTATGACTTGTTAGCCAGGAGCTACAAAACGCAATTAACCGGTGTCTTTTCAAACGCCTGAGCAATGGATTTATGGATTTATACGTTTAATACGCGAACATCTCCGCTATTCCACATAAGTCTGTGGTGAGTCCACCACAACGCTTTTCACTTTATTATGCAATTGATTTTCGCAATAAGTTTCATCATACGGGACTTGTTAAGCGATGCTTTCTTACCCGTAATAAACCATTGTTACAGTGTACCATTCCCACTTTGCCCGGAGACAAACTATATCTACCATTCCACGCGGCGTAAACTGACCTAATTGCGTAGGGTTGTTGGACCCATTAAAACAGCCAGTTCCGCCAAGCACTCTCTATGGTAATCTTGTTGAACAGTGGGCATGGAAGTGATTTTCTTTCTTTCTGTTCCTCGCGAAGACAAGGTTGCATTGGATCAGAACTGGTACTGTTGAGGTATGTCAACAATGTATTTTTATTTTATTTTGATTAATAGTACCGTAGTTAACGTCTCGGTTTCCTTTCTTGGTTGGACCCCGGGGGTTCTTACGAGTCACTCGCGCTCCAAGCAAGTCAGTCGCTCACAGGATTCCTGCCGAGTCTGAGCTGTCAGTGTCATGGCTAAATCTTTAAGTGACTTGTCCGATTAATGAATTAAAATGTGTTAGGGTCAGTGACGCATATACTATGGGTTAGATGACAAGAATGACTTAACTTTGGCATACGGACGAGGCCCAAATGAGGTCGCTGTGGAACAGGATGGATTTGCTTCGATTCCAATGGCAAAGCACTGAGACCCGCTATCTACTCAATTGTTTCCGTTAATCTTTCGATTTTTCATAAACACAACTGCACAATTGACAATTGGAATTGATCTGCATACCCTGCAAAATCAATGCGCATCCGTCACATGTTTGAGCCTCTTTAATTCTACACGACTTACGTCACCACACTTATCTTGGCATGCGAAGCCAAAGTTTTAGCAGGTCAGACCATTTTTGCACATGCGGGTGCTTTTCGATTCTCCGCATATGCCACTAAGTAGGACCATTTTCAGACTAGATCGATATCAACAATCGACCCTACGCGATTTGATTTGAAAACTCAGTGTGACGTCCCAGGCGCGGAGCCAGCGGAAGTTGCTTGTCCATTGTAGCAGCGAACACTCCCACAAGCTGTAGCCGGGTGTCAATTCAAGACGAGTTCTACTGTTAAATGCCCGACGTTTTCAGAAAAAAAGAACCTTACAGATATCGTGATGCTTGCTGGAGACTTAAACGCCCAGGTCAGTAGACTTGAGTTGGAAGAGGGTGAACACGGTTCTCAACATGGATATGGTACGTGCAGCACAGACAACGATGATCGTCGCCTTAAGCTCTGCGCTGATCACGATCCCTTCCTTTAGAGTACTTGCTTTCGTGGATCTTGGCGCCAACCGGCCACCTGGAAACCTCCGTCACCCGGACAGCAATGGACGCAGACTGAACACATCGGCATCAGTTACCACTGACGGGGCCGCATCCAGGATTGTAAACCAAGCTGCAGTACTTACCTCATTTCAGCTCACGTGATCCTGTGGGCTAAGCTCGCTTAATGCTTTAGTGGCTCCCAACGACGTCGCCCTAAACAGCTTGACGTGACTAAGCTTTGTGCCCAAAGCATTCTCTGCGCCTTTTAGGATGCGTTAGCCGCAAATCTTAGAAGCTCCTCAAGCTCTGACGTTGAAAGGCACTTGGACACATCCGCAGCACCATGCACAACTCTGCGACCGTGGTCTGTGGTGTCACCGGTTGTCCTGTCCAGTACTAGATCACTGCACGATGCCTCTAACTTCTTAAAGCTTGTGGGGCTATTCCAGCTGGCGTTGAGTGTCATTTATTACGAAGAACCTCTAACGCTGAACACAAACAGCTCCTTTGGGAGGATCGCAAGGCCTGGTGGACTCAACGGATCATGGATTTGGAGCACGCAGTCAGCTCGGTGAATTTCAGACAGCTTTTCCACCTCATCCGATCCTCTGGCGGCAAAAGGCCGACTGTATGCGATTTTTTGTACGAAACCAATGGTGGGAGAATTCACTACCAAAAACGGAGACTTCTGTGTTAGTTTGAGCAATCTAAAAAAGCAGTCCAACTGGCCGGCAGCACTGATGATCTCTCATAGGGCATCCGCAGTGCCCCCAGGTATGTATACGCTTCAACCCTATCTGAGGGTGAGGTTGCTCATCAATCCCTCGCCTTCTCAAGCGATAGAAAACCCCTGGCTCAAATGAACGAACTCCGGCTCCTTTCTACGATGGAGACTGAACATATGTTTGGGGAGTTAACTTTCCTCCTTCAAGATGTTTTAACCACAAAAGCAATCCTGTTGGATTGGAGTCTAGCAGATTTCTCATCCGGCTTTAATGGGTACTCGGACATACTGCTCTAACCACAGAGCGATTAGTCGCACCTGCATTGCGTCTAAAGTGCTTACCGCCCTTCTTTAAGAAGGCTCACCTTGGTACGTATACGGGGCGGGGGGGGGGGGGGGGGGGGGGGGGGGGGGGGGGGGGGGGGGGGGGGGGGGGGGGGGGGGGGGGGGGGGGGGGGGGGGGGGGGGGGGGGGGGGGGGGGGGGGGGGGGGGGGGGGGGGGGGGGGGGGGGGGGGGGGGGAGGGGGGGGGGGGGGGGGGGGGGGGGGGGGGGGGGGGGGGGGGGGGGGGGGGGGGGGGGGGGGGGGGGGGGGGGGGGGGGGGGGGGGGGGGGGCTGTTTGTGTGGGGAACATACGAGAGGAGGCAACCTCCATAGTTTCCGCAGGGACGGGATGTATAGATCGCGATTCCTTTACTCTCCGTCATATACTTGAGCGTGCTCAAACGTTCGTTGGACTCACAGTCTGTGTGTTACGCAAGTGTTACTCGCTTCAGGAGTGCGCAGAAGTTTTCTTCCAGGAGAGACGGTGTACACGTTTGATACAAAACCGAACCTGCAGTGGCAGTAAAAAGGAAAGCCACTGGGCTGTACGACATGTCTAACGGACTGTTGTCTTTCAATGGAACAGTGATTTTGTACGGGTAAAAAAGCTAATGCTTAACAGGTCCCGTAGGATGGTTATGGTGAAACTATAAATTATAAAAAATTGTTAGCAAAATAGGGTTTGCACCGTGAACTCACCGAAGTATACATAGTATAGACTGTAAATCCAAGGTAAAGACATGACGGCAAATTGGATGTTGGTAAAAATCATGTCTCCTTCTGGTGTATACATACAGGATGTGAAAAACGTGGAACAAAATCTGGCATCTGACCGCTAGTGCGATCTCTTACAAGCAGTTGTGTTTATCCATGGGTAATGGTTCATGCAAGATGGTGCAGCGAAATAAGTGCATGATCAACCCTGGATTTGACCTCTGTCTGTGGGAGCACATATTGTAGGAAGGCGGAAGGCAGCGTTTGCACAAAGGACGGTTAGACCAGTAAAACGGAGGCCGACGAATAGAGAGACCGATGCAATGGGGGCGATTCGCTGGAGAAACCCAGGCCCAATAGCACGAGACGGAAACGGGACAGGAGCGGCATCCGTGGGTGAGCCCGAGGCAGACAAAGCAGGTGGGGAATTTGTTGAAGACGCAATAAATCGGACAAAACCGCCGGTATCGCATCTTCAAGAAACAATCCCGGGGAGAGTGATACACCCACGGTCAAGCAAAGCGCACGCTATCGAACGACTCCGGCCTTGCCAGAATCGGAGGTGTGGAAACGAAGATACACGGGCGAAACGGATACAGAAGATGCGTTCCCGTACTCCAGAAGGAGCATAGAAGTGTCACGAGCGGAGGCCAAGAGGGATGGTGCAACTTGGGAAGGAAATCTGACCCATTAATGTGTGCCCGCGTGAGTGGGTAGACAGTGTGTGTTCGCGCCAATAAAGATCGTGCTTCATTGCCGCGTTTGTTCTGTCGCTACACTGGTGCCGTGACCAATCAGCATGAAGCTTCAATGGCCAACGCCGTTCGCAGGGGGAGACGTGGAATCGTGGTTGGAGGAATTTGAGGCCATTGCGACATGCAACGGGATCAAAGGAGATGCCAATTTGCTGACCGCTTTGGGCACGTTGCTGACAGGGAGAGCGAAGGCGACCTACCAACTTACGAGGAAGGCCAAGGCTGGCTGCCTATTTGCCGAGATGAAGGCTGCGCTCTGTGCGGAATTCGGTAAGGAGAGCGATCGGCAACATGCGCTCGAGCAGTTCCACTCAACCAATTGGGAAGAGCAAGAAGATTTGGTGGTGTTCTTTCAGCGGCTGAAGCGACACTTGGAGGTGGCACTCCCTGAGTTGGATGGCGGCGCGAGAGATCGACTACTGAGAGGCCAATTCGTCCGAAGTTTGCCCAAACCCATTCAGGACAAAGTGAAATTGGCATCCATGGTTGGGGTCAGTACGGCAGAAGACCTTGTGGCGGTAGCGCAGAGTTTTGTGGGTCCCGTGGAGATGGGCAGAATCGAACCGTCCGCGTTGGAATGCAAAATAGACCAGCTTTCGCGCATGGTTGAGAGGTTGGTGACCGCAACTTCGAGAACCGAGACACAACGCAATGCACCCGGAAGACGAAGTAGGCCCCGCTGCTTCCGATGCAACCAGCTGGGTCATTACGCTGCATATTGTACAAAAAGAAATTTTTACCGTTGTTTTTCTTTATCTATGTCGGGTCGGTGGCGGGTACCATCCCTAGAAATAACAATTGAGGGTGTCATAGTGAATGCGATAATAGATACGGGGGCCGGCGCTTCCATTACGAAAAGATTCGAGTGTGTCCCGTTACTACAGTCGTCAATAGCAATGCAAACAGTCGGAGGACACTGCTTGAAGGTTACTGGGACTCAGCGATTACGAGTGAGAATCGGAAAAACGGTCATTAGTCACTCCATGTTCGTGGTGGAGGGGGCAACGGAGACAATCATCGGTAACGACATCCTTAAGCGGTTGGGTGCAACCATTGATTTGAGGAAGAATGTTCTGGTAGTGGACAGCGAGGCGATCGAGATGAGCCCAGGGAAACGCGATCACATAGGTGCCGTGACGATTCTTCCCGAGTGTCCGAACCGTGCAATAAGGGACGTGCTTCAGAAGTATTCGCACTTGTTCACTGATGTGAATGATGATTACGGATTTTGTAGCTGGGTGGAACATCGGATACCTCTAGTCCCGGGTGGGCAGTGCAAGCCGATTTTCCGGCGAATACCGCAGAACACTCTGGGGGAGATACAGAAACAGGTGGCTGAAATGGAGGCCAGAGGCATCATCAGACGAACAAACAGTCCGTATTCATCTCCCGTACTGTTGACGAGAAAGGCAGATGGAAGCTACAGATTCTGCATCGATTTCAGGGAGCTGAATAGAGTTACGGTGAAAGACGCCTTTCCAATGCCCCAAATGGAAGAAATTTTTTCCAATCTTCACAATGCCAAGCTGATTTCATTGATAGACCTACGTTCGGGTTATTGGCAACTCCCCATTGCAGAGGAAGACAGGTATAAAACAGCTTTCAGCGTAAATGGCCAACAGTACGAATTCTTGAGAATGCCGTTTGGACTGTGCAACGCCCCAGCAACATTCAGGCGCTTACTACTTATGGTGCTGGAGAACCTCAAAAATGTGGTTGTTTATGGGGATGACATCGTTATTTTCTCGGAGACGGAAGAGGATCATGGTGCCCTACTCGCAGCTGTATTACAAAGACTGGAGGAAGCCGGGTTGAAGCTCAGTCGCAAAAAGTCACAGATCGCCCAGAAGTCGATTGTCTGTTTGGGCCACATTGTCGGGAATGGCCAGGTCCAGCCGCTTCCAGAGAAACGCGAATCAATCAAGAATTTCGCAGCCCCGAAATCGAAGCGTCAGCTCCGGTCGTTCCTCGGTATAGCAACCTATGACTCGAGGTTCGTGCCCCATTTTGCGGAGAGGATAAGCCCCTTGTTAAAACTTCTGCGTAAAAACGAATCGTTCACGTGGACTCCTGAAGCAGATCGGGCCTTCAACGAACTTAAGCAGTACGTTGCGGACGCACCAGCGTGTTTACGGCTACCCAACCCTGGAGAAAAATTCACCGTGGCGGTCGATGCAAGCAACGTTGCGATCGGAGCTGTACTGTCCCAACCAGCCGGTGTGGTCGAATATGCCAGCAGAGTCCTAACCAGCGCAGAGCAAAAGTACTCCACGACGGAGAAAGAATGCCTTGCCATTGTGTGGGCGTTGGAGAAATGGAGAACATACTTATTAGCAACGGAATTTCATGTTGTTACCGACCATAAGCCACTATCATGGTTAATGACGACGAGGGATCCGCGAGGACGACTAGCAAGGTGGGCGTACCGGCTCCAGGAATTCACTTTTACGATCGAGCACATAGATGGGACGAAGAACGTGATGCCCGACATGTTATCGCGCCCATCTCTGGACGAGTTCTTACCGGACACAGCCATACCGGTGAGTAGAGTCGCCGCTGAGGATCGAAGCCTACTGGAAAGCCAACGCGCGAATGAACTGGTGAGGTTAGTATGCACTCATTTACAAGCCGGGACCAAGCCAGAGGTGACGTCAGGAGAAATCGAGGAGCTCCTCCGGATTTGGGATAAGCTGGAGGTCGCGAACGGCAATCTGTTGGGAACAATAAACGGAATGAAAGTACTCTTCATCCCCCAGAATCTACGGGAGCGGGTGCTGCAAGTGACCCATGACGACGCCCACATAGGATTTGAGAGAGTCCTCGACCTGCTGCAGAGGAGGGTATTTTGGCCCACCATGAGAAAAGACGTCGCGGCATACATTCGTGGATGCCCATCTTGTCAAACAAACCGCGATATGGATACAGCGAGGCCCCCGATGCGATCTATCGAAGTCAACCAACCGTTTCAATTTTGGGGATTGGACGTTTTTGGTCCCTTACCGGTCAGTCGGTCCGGAAACAGGTACATCCTAGTAATGATTGACCATTTTACTCGGTGGATAGAAGCCATACCGATTAAGGATCAAACAGGGGAAACAGTGGCACAGGTATTCGAGTCCAATATACCCGCAAGGTATGGAGTCCCGCAGTGTGTTTTAACCGACCAAGGACCCTGTTTCGAGTCCAGAGCGTTTCAGGCCGTATTGCAGAAGTGGAACATCCAGAGACGACGCACGTCACCGTATCATCCACAGACCAACGGGTTGACTGAACGCTTTAATCGGACAATGAAGACATGGATAAACTGTACAAAGTTACCGTGGGAGCAAGCATTGCCCAGGGTCCTCCTCGCGTATAGGACCAGCAAGCAGTCGACCACCAAAGTTGCTCCGTTCGAATTACTGTTCGGCAGGCAGCCCAGAATTCCACTCGATGCATGCATTACGCAAACGCAGGGATGGGATATCCCACCAACACACCGCGCACGTCTGGAAGCAACCGCCAGAAGAGAAATCAAGTTTCGGCAAGCAAGGAATAAGCGCAACTACGATGCCAGGTACGCGACCCACAAGTGGCAACCATACAGTGCAGGTGCCAACGTAGCGATACGAAATCACGCACGTCCGGAATTTGGAGGTCCGGGTACACGGAAGTTCAGGGAATACTGGAGAGGCCCTTATACGGTACTCCACAGCAAAGGAGAGAATGTCAAAGTTCACGACGGGGCGTCGCCACGCTGGATGAATGCAGCTATGTTACGTCCGTGGCATGTGAGAGAACACCAACTTCGAGAAGGGGCGGGTGTAGGAAGGCGGAAGGCAGCGTTTGCCCAAAGGACGGTTAGACCAGTAAAACGGAGGCCGACGAATAGAGAGACCGATGCAATGGGGGCGATTCGCTGGAGAAACCCAGGCCCAATAGCACGAGACGGAAACGGGACAGGAGCGGCATCCGTGGGTGAGCCCGAGGCAGACAAAGCAGGTGGGGAATTTGTTGAAGACGCAATAAATCGGACAAAACCGCCGGTATCGCATCTTCAAGAAACAATCCCGGGGAGAGTGATACACCCACGGTCAAGCAAAGCGCACGCTATCGAACGACTCCGGCCTTGCCAGAATCGGAGGTGTGGAAACGAAGATACACGGGCGAAACGGATACAGAAGATGCGTTCCCGTACTCCAGAAGGAGCATAGAAGTGTCACGAGCGGAGGCCAAGAGGGATGGTGCAACTTGGGAAGGAAATCTGACCCATTAATGTGTGCCCGCGTGAGTGGGTAGACAGTGTGTGTTCGCGCCAATAAAGATCGTGCTTCATTGCCGCGTTTGTTCTGTCGCTACAATATGACAGATTCCGGTAGGGCATTCTATGTTCTGTAAACGCGCACAGAAAAATAATTCTGACAACCTTCTAAACGTTCGGTTTTTTCAGTTACGCAGACGACGGAAGGAACACACAATCATTTCTACTTCTGAGTTAACATTGGATGTACTGCTGGACACCTTTGAACTACCAACAACTGTGGAGGTCAGTAAGCCGACAGAAGCACTTACAGTGCCAAGTCACGGAGCCGTTGGGTGATCCATGCGCACAACTAAACCAATTCGACGTTTAAAGGTGAACCTTGTACTTCATTTCTGCACGCCAGGAGAACAGCGTGTTTTCAGAGGGGATGACGTTAGGCCCAGCAATCCGGTACAGCGTCCTTGCGCGGGTCTGGATATGAACTTCACCCTCACTCACTGCTCTTTTATGGTGCATGTGAACGAAATCGCCGATCATGTGAGGCGGCCTGTCAGATACAGACTGTCATTTTACCCTATATTGTCAGGTCTTCGCAGTATGGTGTAACTTGACGTTTGGCTAACAGACAGTCCGATGGGGTGAAGTCTTTCCCCGAAACCTCTAAGCCCCATCAAGAGCTAAAGAAGCCCTTTCGGTTGAAGTGCATTGCTCCAAGCAGCTAATCATTGTGTTGGTACATAGCGCTCCCGACAGCACCTCGAATGGGCTCATTGACTTCCTTTGCTGCCAGTCAACTAGTGGATGCCTAGTTATGGGAGAATTTAACCTCACTCCCCCCGGAGATAGAGTGGCAGATATTTTCATGTCAGTGCCCACTGCTCTTCTCGACATAAAGTTGACGGTATCCTTACACCATTCCCTTGATCAGCCCATTAATTTCATGGAAGGTCAAGCCTTGTCCCTCCTAGATCTAATCTTCACTAATTCTTCAGATTTTATAAGTGAATTTACTTAGGAACCACCTCTAGGAGCTAGCGAACACGTCGGTTTGTCATTCAAGTGTGCCCTCTTTCGGGACTATACTGATGACAACATTCTTGGTCCGAATATATGGCGAGCGGATTGCCCCGCGATCAGAGCTAAGGTCGCAACGTCGTCCTGCATCATATCTGCCGATGATTACTTGCAGACCGCTCGGTATAACTTCAAGTCCTACCCGTCTGAGGTGTCTCTCCATCATATCCCGATTTCTGTGAGTAAGGCTAAAAAGGCAAAACTTCCATGGGTTGATTGAGCTGCAAGTCGACTGACGGACAGGCGGACCAAGTGCTTGCGGATATATCGGTCGGCTCCCTCAGTGAGCGCTTTCCGGAACTATCGGGAAGCACGGAGTGCCTTCAAACAACATATGTTTGCCTCTCGACTATGAAATGGAGTTGGTCGACTCGGCTTCGGTAAACCCTAAGCACTTCTACGCTTTTGGTACCGACGGCGATGATGCCGAAACGGACAACGCTAAGGCCTGCCTGGTTGCGGAACAGTATGCGAGGGCATTTGTTACAGTATCTTACTTGCCGCCTATTAATTTGGAGATAAGAGTTCCGTCTTACTCTGCTTTTAGAGATTGCGGTTACAGAGACTCAAGTGCTCGTGCTTCTACGAGAACTAAATCCTACGAAAGCGCTTGGGGCAGATGCTATTCACCCCAAGTTGTTGTACGAAATCGCAGCTGAGGTTTGTGAGCTCAGCACGCGCTTGTTTGAGAAGCCCCCTCTCTACTGCTCCCTACCTTCTGACTGCAATGAAGTGGTAGAATGTCCCATTTTCAAGAAGAGTGACAAACACCTTCCTAAGAACTACAGACCGATCAGGATGATTAGTGTGTAGAACGTAGTACCCCCAAACATGTAACGCAAGCTTCCGAGACACGTAGTCCCAGCAAGCAGACATCTGAACAGCAGGAGGTTTATCAATCAATTGAGAAGGTACAAGATTCACGGAAACGCGCTGCGAGACCGGGAGTGTGTGTGTCAGATGATTGGTTAGCTGGTGTGAGTGGTAACCAATCCGCGCACGGCTGAAGTAAACGGATCGAAGTCATTCGCGTACGTGACATCCCATCATCACTTGAAATCTTTATACTCCTGGCACGAACCGGTCAACAGGTTTATGTGCACGCTGAGATCTACGAAGCGTTGGTGCATCTGACGATTGTACAGAATCCTGAGGGGTTGCTTCCATTTCCGGCTGAACGGATGTTGATTCACCCAGACGTTCATCTGCTGGCCACCAGCAATAACTGCGCGCCAAGGCTTTCATTCGGGCTACGCCTGGATCTGCGTTGTGGAGTTAGTTTAGGATGAACGACGGTGCCTTTAGCAGTGAAATTAGGCGGGATCCCCTAAACAAGCATCCATCGTGAAGGCTCAATTCATTTTTCCGTTGTCCGTAAGGTTTAAACTCGACGGAAACTGTAATAGGCCAGTCGGTTTTTGTAAATCGCACTATAGTAGATAGCGTTAGGTCACGATCGCTCTACTGACGTATGGTATCACCTGTCAATGGTGTGGTGTCGAGGTGTTGCATTAGATTTACAAGCTCTACTGGTTCCTCCAGTATTTCGTCTGGGGTCGCATGTGGTAACGTGCTTAATACATCCGCTGTATGATTGTTCAAGCCAGGAATATAGGTGAGTCGATATTTATATGCACTTAATATTAATGCCCAGCGTTGCATTCTGGGTGAAAACATCTGCGCGATTCCATTTGACTCGCTCAGCAAGGATATCAGTGGTTTGTGGTCGGTTTGTATTTCGAAAAAGTTGCCCCAAATGTACTGATGAAACCTATTGACACCAAATATAACTGACAGGGCTTCTTTATTCAACTGGGAGTAATTCTTTTCGGCGGGTTGTAAAGTTCGTGAAGCAAATGCAATCGGGTGAATGACAATATTCGACATTTGGTGGCATAGAACTGCTCCGACTCCGTATGGAGAGGCATTACACTGTAGGATTAACGGTTTTGCACTATCGTAATGGACCAAAACAGGTGCGGAAGCAAGACACTTCTTTGCACAAGTAAAAGCAGATTGATGCTCACTTTTTCACATCCACGGGATGTTTCTGTGTAACGGTTCGTTCAATGGAGCAAGAATGGTCGAGGCATCAGGTAGGAAACGACGACAGTGCGACAACATTCCTAGGAATGGTTGTAGTTTATCGCTATTCTTGGGCTGAAGTGCCTGCACAATAGGCGCTATTTTATCTTGCAGGACATGCAAACCGGTTTTGTCCAGTTTGTAACCAAGGTAACAAACAGAATCGGATAAGAACTCACATTTGGACTTCTTTAATTTCAACCCACATTCTTCCAGACGCTGAAGAACAGTTCGCAATGTGTTTAGGTGATCAGCGTCACTGCGACCAGTAACAAGGATATCGTCCAAGTATGCACAGGTGAACGGTATATCTTTAACTATATTATCCACGATCCGTTGGAAAATGCTGGGTGCTGAATTTATTCCAACCGGGAGACGCGCGTAGTGGTATAGTCCCAGGTGGGTAGTTATTGTGGTCAGTTCCTGTGACTCATCATCAAGTTCGACCTGAGAGTATGCGTGACTGAGATCCAGCTTAGAAAACTTCTGGCCGCCGGCTAAAGTCGCGTACAAGTCTTCAATACGTGGTAGGGGATATTTTTCCACTTTCGACCCCTGGTTGAGTGTCAATTTGTAGTCTCCGCAAATACGGACGGAACCATCAGGTTTGAGTACAGGTACAATTGGAGTGCCCCAATCTGAATGTTGCACCGGGACTATGACTCATTCTGACTGCAGACGTTGTATCTCTGCCTCAACTTTAGGACGCATTGCGTAAGGTAAGGATCTAGCTTTGTAAAATTTTGGTTCAGCACCCTCTCGGAGTTTGTTGGAAGCCTTGAAGTGCCGCATTATTCCCAATTTGTTCCCAAACAACGATGAGAACTGGTTCAATGACGCATTCAAACTGCCGTCTTCAACAATGAGTTGGTTGAGTTGCATGATCTCGGGAAAGAACTGTATCCAGTCTCGACCCATGAGATTCGGTTTGTTCCTAGGTACAACGATTAAGGGCAGGGTGAATTCTTGCTCCCCGTGCCTGACTTTGACGAAACATCTGCCCAACGCCTGAATTGGATCACCTGTGTACGTCTGTAATCTTGAGTTGCACGGTAGCAAAGGTGGTAGCTTTTTCATTGAAGCGCAATTTACAATGGTGACCGCCGCCCCAGGATCTAGCTCTCTGTCCATCGGTTCATCCTCTATCGTCAAACGTATTGTGTAAGGACAGTTTTTGAGTGTCACACTGTTCAAGTACACGGAGTTAAGCTCACTTTTCAAATTTTCTAAGACCTTATATTCCCGTAGCTCAATCTTGCTTTGACGATTTGATGAGGCTACGTTCGTGGGGCGGGAACTTTCCGATCTACAGACGCGTGCTAGATGATCTATCTTGCCGCATTTCTGACAGATACTTTCTTTGTGTCGGCAATCGGAAGCGTGAGAATGCCGCAAACCGCAACGATAACACGCACATTGTTTTCGATGTTCACTGGTGTCTGATATGCGGACCGCGTGCACATCATCAACTACCGGCCGACTAGTGAACTCGCGCAATTGGTGTGTAATGTTCTCTCGCTGGTGAACGATGAGACAAACGTTATCCCACGTGGTTGCTGACTCATCCAAGGATAACAACTTCTCTCTAGCACTTTCGTCCTATATTCGCGCAATCAAACATTGAATTTTCATTTGTTCTTCAAGTTTTCCAGGTGGAATATCATTATACTTACAATCAGGAATAGATTGGTGAGTATGTGCAATAAAATCATTGACACTTAGTTCGGCTTTTGGACAAGTTTTGAAAAGCAGTATCTAGCAGTGTAAACATTTTGTTTCAGCCCC